GGCCACTCGGTGTATATAATAATCCGGCCACTCGGTGTATATAATAATCTGGCCACTCGGTGTATATAATAATCTGGCCACTCGGTGTATATAATAATCCGGCCACTCAGTGTATATAATAATAATCCGGCCACTCAGTGTATATAATAATAATCTGGCCACTCAGTGTATATAATAATAATCTGGCCACTCAGTGTATATAATAATAATCTGGCCACTCAGTGTATGTATATCATTGTGTCAGTGATAAATGAGCCTTGTATATGGTCTCCTGAACATTCTTAGGAACTGAAGAGGAAGGACGACCAGTATGTGAAGGACCTAAAGAAGCAGGCCGAGGACATTGACTTGCTGATTGAGAGGATGGAGGACCAGGTGAAGAGCCTCATGAAGACCTATCGGGAAGAACTGCTGCACACCGAGGTAGAGTCTCCCCTGACTTTATCTCTATCACTCATGTCTGGTTTGTTGCTGCTCGTGCCAGGCTTAGGCTGGGCACACACCTTACAACCATCACAGGACTTTTGTCTTGCGATGGTTGTAAGGTACTTAAAAAAACGTACGATCTGCCTATGTTGCATAGGCAGATCGTACTTGCGATGATCGCAAGCCACGCCCCCTGAGGGGCGGGCTTTCGATGTCCGCAATGCCGAACGGGCAGTGTGCGCTTGCGCACACCGGCCCGTGCGGCTGTTATCGTACGGACATGCCACAAACCCGCCGAACATCGTACGATGCTCGGCGGGTTTTCAAACATGTCCGTAAGTTTAAAGTCGTGCGACCGTACAGTAGTAGAGGTCGCACGGCTTCCACACACCTTACGATCATCGTACGATCGCGGGATTTCCCGCCATTATCGTCCGATTATCGTAAGGTGTGTGGGGACCCTTAGACACCCCGAGTTATTTGAGCATTCAGATGGTGTAACTTTCTAAATCGGGAGTAACAGAGGGGGAGATGTACTTCAAATAATGTCACCAGCACACCAAATAGTAATTTAGCAAAAGTCAATTTAAAGACACATTGCCATTCAATTGCCGTCCGCGGTCACTACAAGCACCCACCCGTCAGCACCGGTCTCTTGGATGTTCCGGTAAGGAGTGCAGCAAGACCTCTGATTCTTAATGTACTTCAAAGTGACACTAAACTCGGGAGATAAAGCTTAAAAATACATTCAAGTCCCTGAACTCTGAGCAACAATGTATCTTATTTGTATCACTGGGCTGTAGATCCTCCAATCATCTCTGACACTGTCCTTCCTTCTGGAGGGGGGCTACGTCTGTTCCCCATGGTCCCTGTGTGTGTTGTAAAGTAGTCACCGGTCAAAGCTTGCTCCCGAGATGGACTACAATCTCAATTAGGGATGTCCCGATGGCACTTTTTCAAGACCAAGTACAAGTACTTTCCCTCAGGTACACGCCGGTACCAATTACAGATACTTTTTCTTAAAGGGACATGTGACTTTTTTTTCTAAAACAACACAGACTGATGATTTTAGTGCAGTTTCAGAGCTAAATACAGATGTCCCCAGAGCACCATCCATGTCCCCAGAGCACCATATATGTCCCCAGAGCACCATCCATGTCCCCAGAGCACCATATATGTCCCCAGAGCACCATCCTTGTCCCCAGAGCACCATCCATGTCCCCAGAGCGCCATCCATGTTCCCAGAGCGCCATCCATGTCCCCAGAGCGCCATATATGTCCCCAGAGCACCATCTATGTCCCCAGAGCACCATCCATGTCCCCAGAGCGGCATCCATGTCCCCAGAGCGCCATCCATGTTCCCAGAGCGCCATCCATGTCCCCAGAGCGCCATCCATGTCCCCAGAGCGCTATACATGTCCGCAGAGCGCCATCCATGTCCCCGGAGCTCCATCCTTGTCCCCAGAACACCATCCTTGTCCCCAGAGCACCATCCATGTCCCCCAGAGCACCATCCTTGTCCCCCAGAGCACCATCCATGTCCCCAGAGCACCATCCTTGTCCCAATACATTTCACCAGGCTGCAATCTCACCCAGGTGGCATGTGGATCTCTGCTGGGCTCTGTGGCTATGCTGTGGAGAGTTGATCGGGTGGGTGCCATCTCGGGGGGTGTACTGTGCTGTGTGGGGCTGTCCATGGCTGTGCCTGTGGCGGGAAAGAGGCGGAGATATAGAACCAGACAGGCACAGCCAAAGACAGCTACTGCCTTGAAATGCCTAGTATCGGCCCCGATACCGATACTAGTATCGGTATGGGGACATCCCTAATCTCGATACAAATTAGTACACTAAACGTGGGATTGTAGTCCATCTCAGGAGTGGGTGACATGTTCCCTGTCATAAGTGCTTCCCTCTATCTCCCCCCATATGCGGAGCGGTGCAGGGTAGCAGCAGCAAGATGTAGCCATTCATTCTGGTGTGCTGGTAGTTGCCGATCCACCTCCATGCCAGGCACGTGTATGTAATGTCATAGGATCCTGGAGATCTCCATGGCAGAACAGATGGCTATGTCTTCCCCGGCCAGCACAGCGAGGACATGATCTACCCTTCACATGGCCATCTCCGGCAATAGACTATACCCAAAACTGAGATATAATTTTGGGTGTACTCTTCAATAACTGCAGGCCGCTTCCCACTGGCACCACGTTGTTAAATAATAACGTTTTCGTTCTCCCAAGTCGCCGCCTCGCTGATAATAACCTTCTCGACCCCTTACAATCTGGCTTTCGTCCCCTACACTCCACTGAAACCGCCTTTCTTCCCCACATCCAATCACTATCCAAAATCCTGCCGCCTTCACCTTCTTAACATCTCCAAAATACGCCCCTTCCTCACCAATGACACCGCAAAACTACTCATCCACTCCCTTGTTATCTCTCGTCTTGACTATTGTAACTCCCTCCTCATTGGCCTTCCACTGCACAGGCTCCTCCCCCTTCAGTCTATCATGAATGCAGCTGCTAGACTCATTCACCTAACCAACCGCTCAGTGTCTGCATCCCCCGCTGTCAATCCCTACACTGGCTTCCATCCCCCGCTCCCCTCTGCCAATCCCTGCACTGGATTCCAATCGCCCAGAGGATAAAATTCTAAATATTAACAATGACTTATAAAGCCGTCCACAACTCCGCCCCCGGATATATCTCAGACCTTGTCTCAAAGTATCACCCCAACCATCCCCTCCGCTCTTCCAAAGACCTCCTGCTTTCCAGCTCCCTCATCAACTCCTCCCATGCTCGCCTCCTGGACTTCACTAGAGTCTCTCCCATCCTCTGGAACTCTCTACCCCAACCTGTCCATCTATCTCCCACTCTGACTGCCTTTTAGGCAATCCCTAAAGACTCATCTCTTCAGGGAAGCCGATCCCACCTCAACCTAACCGCTCAACCATCACATTCTCATACAATTCATCCCCCCACACAGCTACCTCCTCATGTATCACTTGCCCCTCCCCTTTTAGATTGTAACCCCTCAGGGCAGGGCCCTCCTTACCATCTTGTCTTGAATTGTATTGTGATTGTAATGTCTTCCTTATATTGTACAGCGCTGCGCACACTGTTGGCGCTATTTAAATACTATGTGATGATAATAATCTGCGGCTGCACACTGACCCTCACTTCACTTGTCTTGTAGAAAGCGTTTGAACAAGAGCGAAGAGAGTTGTTAGACGTCAGTAAGAAGAAGTGGGAGCAGACCATGCAGGGTCGCTGGGACAAAGAGGTAAGCACTGAATTTCCATATTGTTGTGAAAGCTTTTTAACCCCTTGCTGTCCGCGGTGTTACACCCCCTTCCTGTCCCCGGCCATTTTTCAGTATTCAGCGCTGCGGTACTTTGACTGACATTTATTCCGTCATGCAGCGCTGTACTGACATTAATTTTATACCATTTTTTGGGGACAGATAGAGCTTTCTTTTGGTGGTATTTAATCACCACTAGTGGGGTTTTATTTTTTTACTATATTAAAGAAAAATTACTGAAAATTTTGAAATAAAAACTGTTTTCCCTGTATTAAATGATGAAACACTTATTATTACCCAATTTTTGGGTAAAATATAAAAGACGGGGCCACGTTGGCCTAAAATTGGCCATAAGCGACGCTTTAAAAGCTTTTACTGCTCATCAGTTTAGTGCGATCAGTGATTGGCCCTAAAATTATTGCTCTCATTCTGACGTGATATGTAACATGTGCGGCACAATGGGCACAATTGTCCTTTTCACCCGCAGCGTGTTTGTATGTGCGTGTGTGTATGTTGGGGCGGGGGACTTTCACAAAATGTTTGTATATTTTTTTTATGACTAATTTTTTTGAACTTTTTTTTTTTTTTTTTTACACTTAATTTTATTGCTATCACTTAGGGGCATAACAATGCCCCTATGTGATAGAACAGGCACACTGACAGGTCCTCTTTATGGAGACATCAGGGGTCTTTTAGAGTGCTAATGTCACCTAGGGACCCCTGAGAAGCTGATGAAGAAGAGAGCTGCCCCCCCGGGCTACAGAAGCCGGATAAATGACAGCTGAAGGCGGAAGTGCTGTAATACACGTCATTACTGCATTCAGAGATCGGAGGGGAGATCGTGTGCACTCCGATCTCGGTACTGAGAGGTGCTGCGCCGGTCCCGGGCCTGTACGGGGTACAGCAGAGCCCGGGATAGGCGGTTGCAGAGAGGGGGACCAAACATTGGTGCACAACATACAAGCAATCAAACGGCTCTACAGCTGGATGTTTAGAATGTACACAGTTTCCCGCCCGTGCGAGCAGAAGTGGGAAAAAAGACGTTTTTAAAAGCCCACCTGCATTTATCAAGCCTAATAATGATGCAATTAACCTTTTAAACCCCTTTTCGTCTGGCCGTTGTAATGAAATGGCCGGACGGAAAGGGGTTAAAAAGTTAATTGCATCATTATAAGTTTTATTGGCTGAAGACCGGCTTGTGTTCATTGAGTTCAGTCTTCAGCAGAAAAAAGCACACAATAAATACATTTTGGCTGATATGGCTGCAACAGTGGAAATGCGCTTCAAGGTTGTCACCAGAAACAGGGATAGACGGATCTCTTCCATTGGGGAAAGCTTTCTCTGTGACAACTGGCGAAGAATTCCCCTCGCTTCCTGTTTTGTCTCCAGGACAGACAGAAAAGGGAAATCTCTCCAATGGGACACAGAGGAACTCATGGCACTGGTTCTAACCGTTCCTTGCTCTGCCCAGAACTAAAGGAAACGTTTTTGTCTTTAGATTCACTTTAAGGGAGGAAATCTAGAACGCCGAGATGAGTTGGGTTTGTGTTTATTATAATAATGTAAGCATTGGAAAGTCGGAAACCCACATGACTCGTATAAGCAGTCAGGACAGTGATGATCAGGGGCGTCCCGAGGCCGGGTGTCACCCGGAGCGGAGACCGGGAGACACCCCGCTGTGACGTCATCGCACATGCGCAGTCATCTTATTGATGCCTGCCGGCGGCCATCTAACTAGTGGATGCCGGCAGAGAGAGGAGGGGACGTTCACCCGGCAGGATAAGGTATGCCGCCGGCCCCCTTCCTCTCTCCCGACACTGTCGGGCTCTCGGTCAATGACTGAGTGCTTGGCTTTTCAGAGGGGGGTGACACCAAAATGGCTGTCAGTCATTTTGGTGTCACCTCCCCAATGGTGGCACCCGGGTGCGGGCCCCCCCTCTGCATCCCCCTTTGTGACGCCACTGGTGATGATATCATTGTAAGTGAATGAGCTGCCCTCTGATTGGCTGTATTGTATATGGCAGCTGGAGAGTCTGTTGAACAGAATGAAGAAGGTGGAGGAATACGAGAAGCAGCTGAACCAGCTCCGGGTGCAGGATGGCGAGGAGTACACCATGATCAAGATCAAACTGGAGACCGACGTGCAGGTCAGTGTTACAGCTTCTGTCAAAGTTTTCTCCAATAAGTGACAACGCTTGCAGAAGAATTCTTTATTGGAGGCTTTAAATGCAATATTTCCCATAAAATATAACTATAAGAAAAATGTGTATTGATTTTGACCTACAGGCTCCTTTATCGCTGAGTGACATTGGCACTTTGTGTCTGAGGTCAGTGTGCCCTCCTTCAGTGATAGAGAGTTTTTACATTACTCTCCTTTATATTGCCAAAACTATGTGCACCCCTCTCCAAATGATGGCGTTCTGGTGTCTCCAGTGAAGGCCCTGTTAATGCTACAACGTATATAGACATTTAAAGGAGAACTATGGGGTCAGGGCTTTCCCCATAGTTCTCCTAGGAGGACACAAACTAGCGTTCTCCCGTCACCCTAAGCTCACTATATACTGAGACGCCGCAGCCGGAATGGATCCCAACAATTCTGTCTGGATCCGCCCAGCTGCGTGAGTGACAGCTGGCTCTGCCTATCTAGAGGTAGAGCCAGCTGTACCCGCCCCCTCCCCCGTCCATTCTGCCAGTCAGCGCTGGAGGATCGGAGCAGGGGGAGAGATAATCCCTGCGGGGAGCCGGGAGGGACAGTCGCACGCCAGTCGCGACGGCTCTCTGCACGGCACGGATGGATCGAGAAGTGAGCGAGCGCCGGTATGTGACAGTTTAATTGTCACAGGTCGGCTCAGATTGTGAGTGAAAATCACTTGCCTCATAGTTCTCCTTTAAGACAATTATGTGCTTCCCTTGACAGAGCCTTTTCTGTTCCATCATGACTGCCCCCTGCGTACCAAGCCAGCACCGTAAAGACATGGAGGGGAATTGATCAAAACTGGAGCAGACAAAATCTGGAGCAGATGTGCACGGCAACCAATCAGCTTCTCTTTTTAATTTTCAAAGCTTAACTCAACAAACTGAAGAGAGAAGCTGATTGGTTGCAATGCACATCTGCTCCAGATTTTGTCTGCTCCAGTTTTGATCAATTCCCCTCATGGTGTGATCAGTTTGGTGTGGAGGAACTCGAGCGTCCTACACAAACCCCTTTGGGGGGGTACAACTCCATACTCATGGTGTCAGGGATACCGGCACAGGTGACCCCACACCTGCACAGGTACCCATACAGGCGGACCAAACACGTGTGACCACACGGACCAGGCAAGTATGGTATATATAAATATTTTAATAAACTTAGCAAGCTAACAGAAACAATCCACAACAGGCATAAACCAATAATGTAACCCCCAACACCTAGAACATACAACGGGTGTAACAACACAGGAAACAGGGCCCAGGGTACAAGATAGCATACAGGTATCAGGGTCTTAGGGTTCAGGCCAGAGGACTCAGACAACAGGGGAAGGTAACGAAATCCTGAGCCAAGGTCCAGACTGCAGGGAGGGTTTAAATACCCTCCCAGGAGCAACATCTAATGGGCTGATTCCTGGCAGCTGGGAGACACCCCCAGGTGAGCACTGGAGCTGCAGGTACCAGCACCACCCAGTGGTGGTCTGGCACCTAGCAGCCGCTGGCTGCCTGGAGAATCCTGCAGGTGAGCCCAGGAACTGCATGGCTCAGCTCCAGCGCCACCTGGAGGCGCTCTGGATCCTAACGCATGGCCATGCTTTTATATTGGGATCTCCAACAAGATCATATAGGTGGGATGGTCAGGTGTCTACAAACTTTGGGTTATTCAATGTACTTTGTATGCATAAGAAAAAAAAAATCAAAAATGTGCCAATGTGTCCCTCTGATAGCAGACATAACCATCTTCCTCTCTCCGATGGCCACAGATTCTCCAGCAGCAGCTGCAGCATATAAAAGCCACCTTCCAGCTGAATCAAGAAAAATTGGAGTACAACTACCAAGTGCTAAAGAAGAGGGACGAGGAGAACACCATCACCAAATCCCAGCAGAAGAGGAGGATCACACGGTAATGTCACCACCGCCGCCGCCGCTGAATGAACAAAAGCAATCCCAGTACATTAGAGCAGCGGTTCTTAACTGGTGGGTCGTGACCCAAAAGTGGGTCGCGACCCCATGTTCACTGGGTCGCCACCTGGCTTCCACTTTTCTAGGTGAGAACCTCCTTAGCCTCACCCTATCAGCGCTGTCAGTTTTGGTGCCAAGCAGTCATTGAAAATATGCTGCCCGGCACCAAGTGTCAGCTTGAGGTGGGGTGAAGCTATGCCTGCCAGGGAGCTCCATCCATACCTGCATTGCTTACAACTCCCTCGTGTCCCCTGTATAGGTGTCTGAACCGGAGTGACATCACATTCTGGTTCCCGGCACCTCTACATGGTGCGCAAGGGAGATGTACCAGCAATGCACATATAGATGGAGCTCCGTCACAGCACAGCAGCCCACACCGGACCCCAGGATGGCGATTCACTCCAGTTCTCGTAAGGTGGGGAAACTGAGTGGATCTTGGAAAAAGAAAAAAACATTTTTTGGAGTGTGTATATGTGTGTGAGATTGTGTCTGTGGTTGTGTGTGTCTGTCAATGTTTTTGAGGGCCCGTTCACACTAGTACAGTGTATTCATTGAACAGTCTTGTGCAATTAACGCAATGTACCATGCAATCACACCTACCACGCGTTCTGGTGTGGGAGATGTGTTGCGCTGCCATTCATTTGAATGGTACCCCAAACGCACCTCCCGCCCACTATTCAATTGCCCGCACCGGAACACGTGGTACCGCAATGGCGTGCGTTCCATTGCAGTGCAACTTGGGTCGCGACTTAATGACCAAGGACAAATGTGGGTCCTGAGGTTACGCAGGTTGAGAACCACTGCATTAGAGGAACATGGAGGCTCCCAAAGCTAACATAGAAGAGTGACGACAGACATAGACCACATGGTCCATCGAGGCTTTCTTCCTTTTCATTTCCTTTCCCCTTTACTTTTTCCATCGAGGCTTTTTTCTAGGAATGCACCGGTAGCAATTTTTCGGTATCGAGTACGAGTACCGATATATTTTTTCTGTACTTTCTGATACCGATACCGGAAGTCACATTAAGGAAGCCAGGCGGTGTGTAATGACTCGCCACCCGGCTTCCTGATTAGCTGGGAAGCCGTCTCCATGCTCCCTCATCACTAAGTGACAAGCCAGTTTTCTGGCCAATTAGGAAGCCGGGTACCGTGTAATAACTCGTTGCCTGGCTTCCTGATTGGTCAAGAAGCCGGCCAATCAGGAAGCCGGGCAACGAGTCTTTACACAGCGTCCAGCTTCCTGATTGACCGGAAGCCGGCTCCATGCTCCCTTGTCAGCAGGTGACAAGGGAGCATGAAGCCGACTTTCTGGCCAATCAGAAAGCGGAGCGGGGAGGGCGGGTAATGACTTCCTAGTTGGCTGACCAATCAGGAAGGTAGGCGGCGAGTCACTACACACTGGCCAGTTTCCTGATTGGCAGTGGAGTCAGCTCCATGCTCCCTCATCACCAAGTGACGGGGGAGCATGGAGCCAGCTTCCCGTCCAATCAGGAACCCGCGCAGCATGTAATGACTCGCTGCCTGGCTTCCTGATACCGGAAGCTCAGGTATTGGGCTAGGCATTGGAGCATTTGGGTGAGTACGAGTACTGGCCCAAATACTCGGCACCGATACTAGTATTGCTATTGGTGCATCCCTCCTTTTTTCCGTTCCAATCCGTAAAATAATGCTTTTCTAAGGTTTTGAACTTTCCTCCTGCTACTTGGAGGTCATGTCCCCGTGTTCTTGATCTTAGCTTCATAATGAAAATCCTGCGCTCCTGAACCTCATTCACACCCTTCGTGTATCTGAAGGTTTCAGTCATCTCTCCCTTTCCCTCCTTACCTCTGTGTACAAGTAACAATGAGTGGTGTAGTCATAAAGCCCGCTCCACTCTTCTATACGGAGGAAACCGTTTTGCAATGACTTTTTCTGATGTGATGGGTTTATTTTTTGAGGTGTAACACATATGTGGGAAAATGTATTTGTATCAAACATACGTGTGCCAAAAACCACCAAGTCAATGATCGGAATCCGGTAACCAGCATACGTACGAAATCTCTTTCCTTGACCAGGTTGCATGATGTTTTGAACAATCTGAGGATTAAACTGGACAAACAGATCAAGCAATACAAAGAGGAGAACCAATCGCTGACCGATGACTTCAAGAGGAATGTGGAGCAATACAAGGAGGTGCAGAAGAAGATGAGGTCAGATGGTTGTCTCGGCATTGCCAGGCTGGTCAATTTTTAGTTCTTTTCTATTGGCTGAATGTTGGAATTCTGTCTATTGAGATATATCTATATATCTATATATAGATATATCTCAGACCTTGTCTCAAAGTATCACCCTAACCGTCCCCTCCGCTCATCCATTGACCTCCGGCTTTCCAGCTCCCTTGTCCACTCCTCCCATACTCGCCTCCAGGACTTCTCTAGAGTCTCTCCCATCCTCTGGAACTCCTTACCCCAACCTGTCCGTCTATCTCCCACCTTGACTGCCTTTAGGCGTTCCCTAAAGACTCATCTCTTCAGGGAAGCCGATCCCACCTCAACCTAACCACTGAACCTTCACATTCTCACATAATTCATTCCCACAGCTACCACAGCTACCTCATGTATCATTTCCCCCTCCTCTTTTAGATTGTAAGCCCTCAGGGGCAGGGCCCTCCTTACCATCTTGTCTTGAATTGTATTGTAACTGTAATGTCTTCCTTATATTGTAAAGCGCTGCGCAAACTGTTGGTGCTATATAAATACTATGTAATAATAATAATAATAATAATAATATTGAGCCAATTCTCAGAGATTGGTCTTGGTTGATTACAGCTAGTTTTGCGTGAATGTTGAGAAATCGTCTCAATTATAACTGACGGACCTCAGATGTAGATGAGGCCACCAACGTCACCCAGACTGACATCTTATTACATGTCACCTCAGTTCTCAGCGGGGTTTCTAGGTGTCTTCCATCATCAGGTTAACCCCTTCATGACTTTTTACATTTTTGCACCCATGTTATATTCCACATTTTAGGCCTGAAAATTACTTAACCTCCCCAAACATTATATATTTATATATCTGAAAGCCAAGACCCTGTAGAATAAAATGTTGGCAGATGCAAATTTTTATGTGGCAACATATTGGCGCAATTTCTTATCAAACCCCAGAATTTTGTGAAAAATTAACTTAAATGCCCCAAAACACAATTAAATACCAATTATTTTAGTAAAATATAAAAGATGAGGTCACAACGAGTAAATAGATACCCGACATGCCCAGTTTCAAAATTGTGTGCGCCCGTGAAACGGCGACAAAATTCAGTACCCCCAAAGAGTCCATAGACGACGCTTTAAAAGGCCCCACAGGTCATAGTTTAGAGATACCCAAAATTACTAGCCCTAGAATTATTGCTTTCACTCCGGCATGCGCGGTGATACCCAACATGTGTAGCGCATTCGTCGTTTTCATACGTAGGCGCACCTGACGCGTGTTTACGTGAAGACACGCAGGGGGGTGGACCTTAAAAAATGTTTTAATGTTTTAGATTTATTTAATGTTAATTTAAAAAAAAAAAAAACAGTTTTTCTTTACTTTAATTGCTATCACATAGCGGGACTTACAAGTCCCCCCAATCGATAGCAGATGTGGTGACAGGTACTCTTTAAGGTGATGCTGGGGGTCCAAAAGAACCCCAGTGTCACCTTTACACTCTAAATAAGCTATTGAAGTGCAGATCGCAGGCTGCAGGAGCCCAGCACTGACAGCTATGGGACCGGACGTGATGCAATCTGCATGACTCCCGGGCCCATAGAACGGGGAGGAGATCGGCAAACGGAGGTACGTCCATCTCCTCCCCAGCTCTCCGCCGACACCAAAGAAGACAGTCCTGGGCCCGTAGGAGGGGCAACGGAGCCCGTGAAACACGGTGTGGGTCATGAAGGGGCCACCACAGTCACCCAGACTGACATCTTATAACATGTCACCTCAGCTGGGTTTCTAGGTGTCTTCCATCATCAGGTTAATGTGAATGGACCCCTCCAGATGCAGGCTCAGTGAGTGTTTCAAAGCTTCTGTAGGAAACAGTTTTGCTCCGTGTCCTCACTTCCATTGTGCAGAGACAGATATGTAACTATCTCCAACCGTTCCCCTGGGGTAGGTATTGGCCCGTCCTTCTCCCCTTTCTACATGCAGCACAACTATAGGCCTCATTTGGTCAAATTCACAGCCTGCTTTTATTTCTACTATATGGCCAAAAGTATTTGAGGACCCCCTAAAATTATTAGGTTCATTTAGACCCCTTTCCAATTTATGATGAGTTCAGGTATCTCCAGTGAAGGGTGCTGGTAATTCTATATCATGCAAAGACATTGTAGACAATTGGGCTCTTCCAGCCTTGTGCTGACGGTTTGGTGACGATCCTTTTCTGTTCCACCATGACGGCCCCCTGTGTACAAAGCCAGCTCCATACAGACACGGTGTGACCAGCTTGGTGGAGGAACCCGAGTGTCCTGCACAGAGCCCTGACCTCAACCCTACTGGGCACCTTTGGGATCAGTTGGGACGCCTACTGTAAGCCACGTCTTCTCATCCAACATCAGTACCTGACCTCACAAATGGCACAAATGCCCCCCCCCCCCCCC